TATTAAAGTCTACTTCATTTCAACCTTCTGCATTTCTGGTTTTCATTCGTTCAAGATTAAACTTCACATATTACACAGTTTAATATCCTTATTTCCTAAAAAGGGGTAATTAAACACTGGTTAAAGTTGCACCGATTACATGAAACACGTCAAGCATATATATACAACATACAACCTACTATTTGTGATTTTATACTCTGATAATTTTATACTTTCAATGATTAGCAACGATTGTCAAACGAAATCTTGTCTCTTTCCTTTGGAATGCGGGGGAAAAGGGAAGGGTCCTTCGGTCACTCTCAGGTCAGACCTGAGCGTCTGCTGGAGAATCTCCTGCGGGACAGGGAACTATAAAGTTGTCTCTTTTGTTGATCGGGTTTTAGCAATTTATAATTCAAAGGGTCAGGGGTATCCCTATCTGGTCCTTGCAAGCCCGTAAAACGCTTTTAAGCACTGTGAAAGTACTGTCCCTTTTAGCGTATCTTGAGATATAGCCAAACAGTCCAGGAAATGCTTCACCTTCCCTGACCCTGCATGAGTTTACAACTGCATCTGTTGGATAGGAGTCCTTTGATTTGTCTCCGAATGGAATGTGAGGGTTTGATGCGTGTCTCCATCCTGTAGGTGGGTCTGTTGTGAGACATAGATCCTACAGAATAAATCCAGAAAAGAGGATCAACGCTGCATGGAGAAAAGAGGTGTCTGAAATAATTGGAAAAACTGCAGAAGAAGACCCAAGATGATGCGGATGAAGACCATCAGTCCAGAAGTATCTCATCCATAACTCAACCTTATGCTGTCTCAAACCAGTAGGACATTCTCTTGGAGGACAATTTAAGATATTGTCATAAAGAAATGTTTGCCCGTACAATGGAAGACAAATGGGGGCCAAACTTTGAACTCCAAAAGGAACATAAAGGTATGATTACTCAATCAAAGACACCGGTCATTTCATCTGATATCTAAATATCAGACCAAAGGACCACAAATGAGAGACTGCAATGTACGGTGAAAAGTGTTTTCACCCAAACAAACTGAATCACGTCAGAAAACTGGCTAAACCACATGATTAATTACCTTTATCCTCAATTTACTGTATGTCTGTTGGTATTTGAAAGTTTGATTCCCATTTTCTTTTGCACTGTAGGGACAAACAGACATTTAATCTCCAGTAAAGTATCATCTATATTGGAGTTTAAATTGGCTAATGCTGATTTGTATTTTATAAACCATTTGCTTTGAAAATAACATTAGCTGATGTTCACTGAAGCCTGATTTGAGAGTACATTTGTATTTTATGAACAAATAAAGACTTTATGTATGTTTGTATGTATGTATATGCATGCCTGTTTTTCTATAGTGTTGTATCAGATTAAAAAACAAAACATAACTTGACTTTGTTCTCTTTTGTAATACAATAATAATCTTTTGTAATTTTATTTGAAATCAACGTGATTGGATAGAGAGTAATAGGTCTCGTGACTTTCGTCAAATCAAATTGTGCATAGAAAACTTTAACCGCCAACTGTTTATCATGGCTGCTGGAAGCGCATTCTTCAAACATCAATTCAGTCGCATCTTCCTCTAACTTAATATGTTACGGTAAATTTCGGATTTCTGCTTACTAAATGATTTGTATATATGCTTGTCTATCTACACGGCCTGAAATTTGGTGCGAGGTTGCAGGTATTGCGTACAGTGTTAACTCCCGCAAGTGCCACGTTTGGTAAATTCCCCACTCACTTATGAGATCTGTGCTGCCTCGTCTCTCTCTTGCGTGCGTTCTGCAGCAGTCACTTGGATAAA